AATGGCTCATGGGGAGCTTTGGCTCTTCCCTTCACAAGGGCCTGGAGTGCCAAGGGAAGGGGAATGGCTTCAAAATGAGGGATAGATGGTATATTGGGAAGGAATTCCTCCCTGGGGGGTGGGGAGACCCTGAGATGGAATTCCCAGAGAAGCTGTGGCTGCCCCTGGATCCCTGGGAGTGTCCAGGGCTGGGTTGGAGCAGCCTGGGACAGTGGGAGGTGTCCCTGCCCGTGGGATGGAACAGGACAAGCTTCAAGGTCCCTCCCAAGCCACTCCAGCCTGGGATTCTGGGATTTTGGGATTTCAGGGATGTGTCCATCCGTGCCCCAGGACCTGCAGGGTTTGGGGCACATTTTCTCGGTGTGGAAGGGCTGTAGGAGGGGGGTGGAGCTCCCTGTGCTGCCCAGGCGCCTCTTCCCAGAGCAGGGAGAGGAAAAGCTCCCTGGCAGGTCAGGCTGGGCAAGGACAGCCCGGCTGTTTTGGTTCCGTGGTCACAGCACGAGTCCCTCAGGTGGGGCTGAGACGGGGGGAGGCTTCAGGAACCCAGGAGCTGTCGGAACATCTCGGATGTTCTTCCACTTCACCTTGAATTTGAGACTTGGACTCGTCACAGAGTGCTTTGGGCTGGAGGGACCTCAAAGCCCATCCGGTGCCATGGCAGGGACACCTCCTCTGTTCAGGGCTGCTCCAGGCCCTGTCCAGCCTGGCCTGGGACATTTCCAGGCATGGAGCAGCCACAGCTTCTCTGGGAATTCCACTCCCGTCCCTCCCTGCCCTCACAGGGAATATCCCTGTCCCAATATCCCATCTAAACCAACCCTCAGTTGGAATCCATTCCCCCTTGTCCTGTCGCTCCCTGTGCTGGTCCAAATCCCTCCCCGTCTCTCTTGGAGCCCCTTTAGGCACTGGAAGGTCTCCAGAGCCCTTGCAGCAGCATTCCAGCATCCAAAGGACCTACAAGGAGTGGGATGCTCTGATCTTTGGAAGGACAGAGCGATCCAAGCGCTCTGAGGAGCCCCTGGAGCAGGGTTTGGTCAGGGCTGTGATCTGGAGCCTCTTTGGGAGCCAACTGAACCCTCCTTGTGTGGTTCAGTCTCATTCCCATGATTCCACATCCCAAATCCAGAGCTGTGGTCGCTTTTCCCTGTTGAGAGCTGGGCTGGAGGGGATGGATGCTCGTGCTTGGAAAACAGAGCCAGATTGTCCAAAGCAGCCCACGGATATTTGCAGGGCGCTGCTGCTGCTCCCATCTCTTCCCTTCAAGAGCTGCATGATCTTGGTCATGTTACCCCAGATGGGATGTCTGGTCAGGACAGAAGAAAGCTGGAATTGACTCTGAATTCCCACTGAAGGCTTCAATGCCTTCTCAAGACCAAGGATTTCTTCCACTGCATCACTGAAAATGTAGTTTTATTTAAAATAAAAGCGTGCTGAGGGGGTTTTTAATCTCGATTTTTCCCACGGTGCAGTTCCCTCTGTTGATGTGCAGGGTCTTCCTGTCAGGAACATCCAGCTGTTTTCCAGGTCCAAATAATTGGGATAGTTTGGCCCTAAAGCACTGACAGCACATTCCTTGTTGGGAGCAGTTGAGTTTCCGTGGCTCTGCGGGGTGGTTGGAATTGTGACTTCTCCCAAGCAGGCAGAACACCTCCTTCCCTTGCTGCTGCCTCCCGTGCTGGTCCCGAGGCCTCGGCAGAGTTTGGGGTGGATCCTGGCCAGGGGAGACCTGCTGGGGCCTGTCCTGGGCTGCCTGGCAGCGCCTCCGCCCCGGGGTGTCCGTGCTGCTGCCACCGGGGATGGCACGGTCACAGGGAGGTGAGGATTTGTGGGGAAAATGGGATTCTGCAGCTGCTGCTGAGGGATTGCTGGGATCACGTTGGGCAGCAGCCACTGGGGTGGTTTTTTTTTGTATAAAGCACCATTATTTTAATGTTTTATTTATAATATAATAATTATAATATATTAATATTTTATTTTATTTTAATTCTTCCCTGGTTGCCCTGCCTCGGTCACGTGCCTTTGCTCCGAGAAATCCCAGGGCAGCTTGGGATCCTTGGGCACCTTGAGTGAGAGGCTGAGTGTCCCAAATTCCAGGTTGGTTTGGGTTGGACGGGCCTTAAATATTCCTGCCATGGGCAGGGACATCCTCCAGTATCCCAGGCTGCTCCATCCTGGCCTTGGGCACTTCCAGGGATCCTTCCCCACCCTCCCAGGGAGGAATTCCTTCCCGATATCCCATCTGATCCTGCCCTGCCATGTCCAGAGTCCCTCTCCATCCTACAGACTCAACATCCATCTCCCAGAGCTCAGCTATTCCTGGGAAATGTTGCTTTGTGGATGGCGGAATTCCCTAAAGCTGTTTTCCCTCGTGCTCCGTGGAAAGGGTGATGCTGATTCTCCCTTCCTGCCCCGAGCAGGTGCCAGGTGTTGCTCAAGTTCTCACCTGTGCTGCTGCAGTGGGCGGCACCTCTGCCTTTGGGAAGAGTTTTGGGATCTTTTCCGGATTGGAGCACGTAGAAAACATCGGCTGTTCCCGGTTCCCCAGCTGTGACCCAGCTCTTCCACCTGAGCCCTCCCAAACTGCTCAGGTTCCTCTAAACTTTAAGGCAGAGAAGCAAAGGGGAAAAAAAAAAACAAAACAAAAACCCACTGAGGCCACTGAGGTGCTGTGGAAAACTGGTAATTAAAGAGGTGTTTTGTCAGCACTTTTGGTTGTGATCCCATCTTGATGTGGTCGTCTCATTTGAATGTAAATGTCAAATTCCAGAGCTCCTGGAGGAGAGGGATTGGGTGACATCCTGCTGAGGGAGGCAGGAGCTCAGGGCTCTCCGTGAGCTCTGGGTGCTGCTCTGGGGCTGGGGGGAGACAGGTGAGAAATGGAGTTTGGAAGAAGGAAAGAGGGAGGGAGTGGAGCTGCTGGGAAATTCAGGTCAGTCCCCCTTGGTGGCCCATTCAGACCTTTCCGTGCCAGGGAGGGGACGAGCTGTGGCTGTGTCACTTGTCACCTGGCTTCAGGACATTCCCAAGAGGATTTTGCCCTTTCCTTCGTGGGAACTTTGCCATGAGCAAGGAGTGGGTTTGGGGTGTTTGGAACTTGTTTTGAGTCGCCCACCTCATGAAGGCTCAAGAAGTTCCCAAACCCCAGATGCACAGTTCGGAACGCTCCGTTTCCCGTTGGTAATTCCAGCCCTTTGGAAAGGGAATGGGGGAGGTGTTTTAAGGACTCCATCTCTGGATGTGGCTGGAGCATCCAGGCCCTGAACCCATTCCTGGGGGTTCAGGGCGGCCCCTTTGCCCCCCGCCGTCCTCGGGCAGCGCGGGACACAAAGGCCGTGTTGTGTGCGGGGTGGCCGAGTTGGAGCAGGCTCCGGGCGGTCTCATGACCCTGCAGCCATTCCCACACTTGGGGACGATTCTCCAGCCCCCGGGGTGGGGGTGACCTCCCCTGGCTGCTCTGGATCTCCCCGGAGCCGGGACACGGACACGGCTCCCTCGGGATCCCTGCCCGGAGCTCCCAACGCTGCGTGCGGCTCCAGTTCAGCGCCGGCGGGAGAAAAAGCTTTGTGAAGCATCTCTTGTGGAGAGGAAGGAGAGGGGGAAGCTCCAGGGCCGTGTTTGGGGTGGGCAGGGATGTGGGATGTGCTGTCCTGCGTGCTGCAGCCCCCATCGGGAGGTTCTGGGGAGCTCGGGAGCTGCCCCGGTGGGAATGGGACAGGCGGTGCTGAGGCAGGAAAGCTTCCCTGGAATCCCAGCCTGGGATCCCCTGGGGATGCTGGGATAGGGTGACCTTGCCCAAGGTCACACCTGAAGTTGGCACCAAAGCCAGAGCCTTTTCCTCCCTGATGTAAAATATCCCTGAAATTGGGGTTTAAAGGTCAGACCTGGAGCTCGGGAGGTGCCTCTGGAGCTGACCCCGGGTGTCTCAGGCTTTGGTGTTTGGTGTTGGTGGCAGAACTGGAGCCTGCACATCCCCTGGATCCTCCCTCCTCCTCCTCACCCCCATCCCGTTCCTGCTGGGAGCTGAACGCTGCTGTCCTGCTGCTGTTCCTCACTCAGGGCTTTGCTCCAGATCAGTTTTCCACAGCCTCAGACCTGCCTCCTCCTGCCTTTTCTCTGTAAAAAGCAGGAAGGTGCCAAAGTTAAACTTATTCTCTGGGCTTAACAAAACTTTTCAAAAATAAGTAAATATGGAAAACTACTGAGGAGGCCGGGGGTGGGTGGGGGAAGCTGGAGTTGTGCAACCTGGGCTCCTGCTCCGTGCCGGGACCCGGGGCTGGGAGTTGCTTCCTGGATAATTACTCCTGTTCTGGATCCATCCTGACTCATCCGTCCCCCCCGTGGCGTGGGACAGGCCACGTCCCGCCGTGCCTCAGTTTCCCCATCTGGGAATCAGGGTCTCGGATACTCCAGCCTTGTGCTGGGGTGGTTTGTGCGTGGATTTCTTGGCTCCTGCTGATCCCAGTGCTTGGGATGGGAGGGAATTACAATTCAATTACATTGATTTTCCAGCAAAGGCATTGCTGCTTCAAGGAGCGTGTGGATTTGCTGCTTGAGATGGACAGGAGGGAAATGGTATTCCTAATTTTTGGGATCAGGAGAATGAGACTGTGGGAGAATTTAGGGGCTGCTCAGGCTCGCAGTTGGGCCCCAGTGCCCCTTTCCCAGCAGAGGGGATCCCTCTGGGTTTTTCCAACCTTTGGAGTCAAGTGGATCTGTCAGGAGTTGCCTTTATTTGTTTATCTTGTCCCAGACAAACCCTTGGCATTGGGAAGAGCTGCTGCTCCTGCTGGAACCTGTCCAAGATCCGGGTCTGGTGCTGGCACTTGGTGATCCCGGTGTCCTTTGCTGTCTCCTGCTCTGGGAAAGGAGCAGGAGCTGCCTCGGGTTCCAGGGGTCAGCTCTGCTCTGTCAAACCCCTGCAGCAGCAGCTCGGGGTGCCTGGGGCTCCCCTCTCCTGTTCCCAAAGGACATTCCCGGCCTGCATCTCTCCAGGTGTTCTGGGATGAGTGATGGGAACGGTGTTCCCGGGATGACATCACCGTGTTGGCTGCTGTCAGGGAGCCGGGGACATTCCCAGTAGGAATGGGAACGGGAAATGCTCCCAGAGCTGGACTGGGCTGTGCTGGGGAGGCTCAGGCTGCCGTAGCCCCGCGCTGGGCACGGCTGTGCCCGCTCCAGGTGATCCCAGCTCCTGCCAAGGCTTGCTGCTCCGGCCCAGATCTGCATTCATTCGGCTGCTCTCACTTGAGAGCACCTGGGCTCTGTTCCTCCTCCTCCCCAGGTGAGCACAGCACGGGCAGGACGACGGGAGAGGCGCGGGGGACACGCGCGGTGCCGCCTCAGGGATTTGGGGGTTCTCCCCACGTCTCCAGGCTGTGACTCACGGTGTCCCCCTCCTTCCTTCCCCACAGCCTTTAGCGTGGAAGATGGCGGGTGGCGTGGACGGCCCCATAGGGATCCCGTTCCCGGATCACAGCAGCGACATCCTCAGCAGCCTGAATGAGCAGAGGAACAACGGGCTGCTGTGCGACGTGGTCATCCTGGTGGAAGGCCAGGAGTTCCCCACCCACCGCTCCGTCCTGGCAGCGTGCAGCCAGTACTTCAAGAAGCTCTTCACCTCAGGGTTAGTGGTGGACCAGCAGAACGTGTATGAGATAGACTTTGTGAGTGCGGACGCCCTGTCGGCGCTGCTGGAGTTCGCCTACACCGCGACCCTCACCGTCAGCACTTCCAACGTCAACGACATCCTCAACGCCGCCACGCTGCTGGAGATCCCGGCCGTCAGGGATGTCTGCACGGATCTCCTGGAGAGGAAGATTCTGGCCAAAAATGACCAGATGGATACAGTAGATCAAATTGATCAGAGGAACCATCTCAGAGCAAAAGAGTACCTGGAGTTCTTCCAGAGCAACCCCGTGAACGGCCACCAAGGCAGCTTTCCGTGGACCAACCCAGAGTTGAGAGACCTTCAGAGACTGAACTTCCGAGGCCAAGAGGAGGAGGAGGAGTCAAACTGCAACGGCCTGGACTTCTACTCGCAAGCCACCCCAACCGAAAGACCAAAGGCAAGTGACTGTGACCCTGACAGCAACCCGGCCATGTGGCTGGACCGCGAGGACGAGGAGCCGGTCAGCGGCGGGATGTTCTCCCCTTCCCAGAACGGACATTACAGCAGCCGTGGCTTGGCCACCCCGGGGGAGGAGGAGGGGGGCACCCCCAGGGGCCCTCTGGACCCGCAGGAACCCGGGGACTCGCCCAGCTTCATCCCCACCGGCACGGAGACGGAGGACGACGCCAGGGAGGTGGATGACCTGGCCACCAGCGCCCTGCTCCAGCAGATGATCAACTCGGTGGGGCGGCAGCAGCTCGGCGACGACGACCGCAAGGACGAGGACGGGGTCATGGATTATTACTTGAAATATTTCGGCAGTTCCAGCGAGGGCGACGTGTACCCGTCCTGGTCCCAGAAGGTGGAGAAGAAGATCAGGGCGAAAGCATTCCAGAAGTGCCCCATCTGCGAGAAGGTGATCCAGGGCGCCGGGAAGCTGCCGCGCCACATCCGCACCCACACCGGGGAGAAGCCCTACGAGTGCAACATCTGCAACGTCCGATTCACCAGGTACGGGCTGGGCAGGGGGGCTGCATCGAGACCCGGGGGCTGCACTGAGACCTGGGGGCTGCACCCAGCCCCAGCCCTCCCCTCACCCCGGAATCCAGCACAGGGCTGGGTGATTTTATCTCTCTGCTCAACTCATTTCCATCCTAACAGGCAAGTTGGGGCTGGAGGCCAAAGTTTTCCAGGGAGATGAGCAATTTGTGGGTGTGACACTTGAGCACTTGTGACAAGGGGCCTGGCTCGATGGCCAGTGCCACCTTCTCGCTGTCCTGACTTGATGAGCTCTGCTGGAAACTCCACGTGGGGGTGAAACAGAGCTGCAGCTCTCGGTCTGTCCATGGTGGCGGAGGCAGGAGCAGGGGAATGGCTCGGGAATGGTTTGGTGGCATGGCTGAGGTGGTGGAGGCTGGGTTGGAAGGAGGCCGGAGCCCACTCGTGTCCTTGGCAGCCCCGGTGCAGCTCCCGGGGGCGTTTGCCCCGGCCCTGTTGCTAATGGGGGCTCCTCTGCTCCTGGCCCGGGCCACGGGAGCACCGAAGAAAGGGAATATTGTTTGGATCGCTCCGGTTCACTCCGCTCCGCAGCCGGGCGCCGCCTCCTCTCCCCGGGCTGTGCCGGGCCGGGGGTCCCAGCCAGGAGCAGCCCTGGCCCTGCCGAGGGCAACCTGGGCCTGGGGGGGCTGCTCCCTTCCCTTTCCCTGCTCCTTTTCCCTTCCCTTTCCCTTTCCCTTTCCCTTTCCCTTTCCCTTTCCCTGCCTGCCCACACGTTCCCACTGTGCCGGTTCCCCCAGGCCAGCCCTTCCAGGAGCTTTGGGGGCTCCATCCCATGGGGCTGCTCTGTGTGGGATCCGTGTGGGATCCGTGTGGGATCCGTGGGGCAGCCCGAGGGGCAGGAGCCGTGTCCTGCCCCTTCCCCTGCTGCGGCCGCACCCACGCCGGGGAGCTGAGGAATGCAGATAATGGCAGGGGCAGGGTGCCAGCCCTCCCTGTGCTCCCCCGGCCCTGCCACGCGGCACCTCCCTGCTCGGGGCTGATCCTGAGTGATCCCGAGTGATCCTGATGGATCCTGGGTGATCCTGCAGTGATCCTGAGCCATCCTGGGTGATCCTGCAGTGATCCCGACCCATCCCACCCCTCTGTGCCCCATCCAGGGCTCCCCCAGCACTGCCAGGCGAGGGGAGGCACGGGGAGTTTGGGGAGGGGGAGTTGGTGGGGCAGTGCCACCTCAGCCTTTTCCATCCTGTTCCCATTCCCTGGGATGAGAACCTGTTCCCATTCCCTGGGATGAGAACCTGTTCCCTGTCCCAGGAGAGCCTGGCACCTGTAGAAAAGCTGCTTTTCTAAAACCCCAGATTCCATCCCAACACAGCTTCCCACTGGTTCCCACAGCAGGATTTGGGCCTGGAGAAGCCTGGACAGGGTCGGGAGCGGTCCTTGGCATGGCCGGTCCCTGCTGTGCCCTGAGCTCCGTTTCCCCCCGGTTTTATTCCTTCCCATCCACATCCCATGGCTGGAAAACAAATCCCTTCCCCATCCCGAGGGGCTCTGGGAGGGCTGGAGCCGGGATCCCGGCTCGGGGAGCGGGTTTGGGGTGGGGACCGAGCCCGGCCCTTCCCAGGGATTTTTGCTCCCTGGCTCTTCCTGGTTCCTCTGCGGCCGCAGGAGGAGGAGCAGCGGCAGCTCCGGTACCACAGGAGAGAGTGGGGGGTTATAAAATGACAAACTTTAATTTCACAAGCCCGTTTTTGTGTCCTTGGGGCTTTAGGAATTCCCTGGAGCTTTAGGAATTTGGGGATCCCGTGGGCAAAGGGGGAGCATTCAGGGCTGGGATCTGAGCGTTCCATCCAGGAACGGGGTGGATCCGCTCGGGAAGGGTCGGGCAGGTGCAGGGGAGGTCAGGAGGGGCTCCCAGTGCCCGGCCACATGCTCGGGGCTGGGATTTTCCTCCAGGAAACGGCGATGGCTGCGGCTCACGTGGCTCTGCTGGCCCCCGGCCCGGCCTCAGCACCGGCCCTGCCCTGCCTGGGGGAGCTGCGGCCCCAAATGCGCCGTGTGGGACCCCAGAGCTGGGCTGGGCAGGGTGGGACCCCATAACCCAGCTCAGACCCCATATGGGGATAACTGGGACCCCATAAACCAGTTCAGACCCCATATGGGGATAACTGGGACCCCATAACCCAGCTCAGACCCCATATGGGGATAACTGGGACCCCATAACCCGGCTCAGACCCCATATGGGGATAACTGGGACCCCATAAACCAGCTCAGACCCCATATGGGGATAACTGGGACCCCATAACCCAGCTCAGACCCCATATGGGGATAACTGGGACCCCATAAACCAGCTCAGACCCCATATGGGGATAACTGGGACCCCATAAACCAGTTCAGACCCCATAACCCAGTTCAGACCCCATATGGGGCTGACTGGGACCCCATAACCCGGCTCAGACAGTGTGTGACCCCACACTCACACCCTGCACAGGGCAATGCCCAGCCCCATTCCAGTTCCCGGCCCCATTCCAGTTCCCAGCCCCACAGCAGGCACTGCCCAGCCCCATTCCAGCTGGCTCAGCCCTGTTCTGATGCCCAGCCCCATGGCTGTTCCCCAGCCCCATGGCCACCCCCCAGCCCCATGGCTGCCCCCCAGCCCCATGGCTGTTCCCCAGCCCCATGGCTGCCCCCCAGCCCCATGGCTGCCCCCGCTGTCCCCCAGCCCCATGGCTGCCCCCCAGCCCCATGGCTGCCCCCGCTGTCCCCCAGCCCCATGGCCGCCCCCCAGGCTGACGTGCCGTGCTCTCCGCAGGCAGGACAAGCTCAAGGTGCACATGCGGAAGCACACGGGGGAGAAGCCCTACCTGTGCCAGCAGTGCGGGGCCGCCTTCGCCCACAACTACGACTTGAAGAACCACATGCGGGTGCACACGGGGCTGCGGCCGTACCAGTGCGACAGCTGCTGCAAGACTTTCGTCCGCTCCGACCACCTGCACAGGCACCTTAAAAAAGATGGATGCAACGGGATCCCGTCGCGGAGGGGCCGCAAGCCGCGGGTCAGGGAGGCCGGGGCCATGCCCCCCACGCCCACGGGCAGCGCCGAGGACGGGGGGAGCTTCCCAGCCGAGAGCCAGGAGCCCGAGGACACCGCGCAGGGCGCCGAGCACGAGCGGCAGCAGCAGCAGCAGCAGCACTTTGAGGAGAATTCCAATAACGAAGCGCCGGGATTGAATGTAGCAGGAGGGTCGGATGAGGGTAACGCGCAAGGACTCTCCTAAACCAAAAAAAAAAAAAAAAATATTGACAAAATGAGAATAAGAAATGACAAAAAAAAAAATCAACCCCAACCGACAAAACAACCACCTGAGAAAAACAGAAAGTCACAAAATCTAGTTAGTACTTTTCCTCCGATTTTTCTCTTTAAAAGATGTTTCTCTCCCTTTTTTTAAGGAAAAAAAAAAAAAGCAACAAAAAAAAATACAAAAAAAAAAAGAGAGATATTATATTAACGTTTTCCAATCTTCCCATCGTAAGCGGGGCTCTCCCCCGAGGATCCCTCATAGCCAAGGACCTTTTCTTGGAAAGGCAAGGACGTTAGGGAAGCACGAGGTGGGGATGGAAAGTGGCTCTGTCGCATGGAAAAGAGCTTCCATGTAAATCCAAAGCTTTATTTTGTGTCCAAACACGTGTTTAAAAAAAAAAAAGAAAAGAAAAAAAAACTTATTTCAGAGAGAGATCTATTTAAGAAAAAAAAAAAGGAAAAAATAGAAAAAAAAAGGAGTGGTAGGAGTTGGAAGGGCTGTGGCAGGGTGGGGTTTGGGATTTGGGGGCCGGGGGCTCCTTCCCAGGAGATCGGGGTCAGGATTTGGGGTCCGTCCCCCCCAGCCCCATGCGAGGCTCAGTCGGGCAGCGAGGGCTCCGGGTGGGGAGCGGCCGGAAAAAATTGCTGGAAATTGCTGGAAAATTGCCTAAAAAAAATCATGTGTGAGAGAGAGAGAGAGAGAGATTGAGAGAGAGAGAGAGAGAGGGCAGCAGGTTCGGCAGGGTTTGTGTCGGGCACCCGGGGCTGGGGACAGCGGAGATGGGGACAGGAGGGATGGGACAGGGACAGCACCCAGGGATGGGACAGCAGGGATGGCTCAGCCATGCCCTGGATTCAGGGCTGCTGTGTCCATCCCTGTCCATCCCTGTGTCCATCCCCGTGTCCATCCCTGTCCATCCCTCTCCATCCCTCTGTCCATCCCTCTCCATCCCTCTGTCCATCCCTCTGTCCATCCCTGTCCATCCCTCTGTCCATCCCTCTCCATCCCTCTGTCCATCCCTCTGTCCATCCCTCTGTCCATCCCTGTCCATCCCTCTGTCCATCCCTGTCCATCCCTCTGTCCATCCCTGTCCATCCCTCTCCATCCCTCCATCCCTCTGTCCATCCCTCTCTCCATCCCTCTGTCCATCCCTGTCCATCCCTCTGTCCATCCCTCTCCATCCCCGTGTCCATCCCTCTGTCCATCCCTGTGTCCATCCCCGTGTCCATCCCTCTGTCCATCCCTCCATCCCTGTGTCCATCCCTGTCCATCCCAGTCCCTCCAGTCCCTCCCAGTCCCTCCGGTGTCCCCCCATCCGTCCCCACCCCGCAGTGCCCGGGAAGTGCCTGAGTCAGCCCAGCCCCCGCTGCCGGCAGAATTTGGGGCTGGGGGGTCCCAAATCTCTCCCCCAGGGAATCTTTTTTTTTTTCCCCCCCCAGGGAATTTTTTCCCCCACCCAGGGGAATTTTTTTCTCTCCCCTCCCCGTCCCAGCGTGGCCCCAAAAACGCCTCCGAATTCCTTTGGAATAAAAAAGGTTCAGTGGGGTCTCCCTGAAGGAGCAGGAGGCCTTTGGGAAGGGGGGAGCAGCCTGGCCCCCCCAGCCCCGTTCCCAAAAAATAAATATATATAAATATATATCTAGAGATGTTCTATGGCTGGAGAGGCGGGTCCCGACCCTCGGGGGGAAAAGGCACCTTTGAGTTGGTCACCTGTTTTCTAAATGCACATTTTTAAATGCTAAAAAAAACAAAAAAAAAGAAAAAAAAACAAAAAAAAAAGAGTAAAAAAAACAAAAACCCAGAGAGATTTTAAGCCCTTTTATTTTCAAAGCACTTTTTAGATTCTCTTCCTTTTATTTTAATTTTTTTTGTTGTTGTTGGTTTTTTTTTGGTTTTTTTTTCCTTTTTTTTTGGTGTTTTTACTTTTAAAAAGCAAAAAAAGCAAAGAGCAGGTTTTGGCCGAATGTATTTTGGAGAGGGAGTGAGAGGGGAGTGTGTGCTGGGGGTGGGGTGAGTGGTGGGGCTGGGGGAAAGAGATGGATGTTTATTTAATGCAGAAAAACAAAAAAAAGCAATAAAAAATTCCAAAAAAAAAAAAGCTTAAAAAATAATAATAAAAAAAAAAAAAAAAGAAAACAAAGAAGTCTTAGCACTTTGCGATGGAACGGGTACTTTGAGCTCACTTTATCTTAATTTAAAAAAAAGAAAAGCAAAATTCAAGATGTTTACAAGTCAAAAAAAAAAAAAACTTTAAAAAAAAAAAGACTTCTACAGAGAAAAAAAAATATTATTAAAAAAAAAAAAAGCCTAAATTTATTTTTGTAAGAAAAAAAAAATGTGTATATATATATATATATTTAACAAAAAAACCTAGAAAAAAAAATGACAAATATAGGCAGAATCCAAGTGAGATTGGAGGATGGGAGGAAGATGCTAATTAGGTTCTGTGACGTGCCCTGACCCTCGGGAATTTTAAATAGAAAGAAAGAAATCCATGGAAGCTTGAATTTTCGGCAGGAATCCTGGGGGTCGTGCCTCGCTCCCCGCTCCCCACAGCCTTGAGGAGGTTCTTTGGTTTTGGTTCTTTTTTTTTTGGTAGGAATAATTTCATTTTTTGGATGGTTTTTAGCCAGAGGTGTTGGGATCCCTGTGGATTTGGATCCCGTGGATTTGGATCCCCATGGATTTGGATCCCCTGGATTTGGATCCCCTGGATTTGGATCCCCTGGATTTGGATCCCCTGGATTTGGATCCCTGTGGATTTGGATCCCTGTGGATTTGGATCCCTGTGGATTTGGATCCCTGTGGATTTGGATCCCATGGATTTGGATCCCTGTGGATTTGGATCCCCATGGATTTGGATCCCCTGGATTTGGATCCCATGGATTTGGATCCCTGTGGATTTGGATCCCTGTGGATTTGGATCCCCATGGATTTGGATCCCGTGGATTTGGATCCCATGGATTTGGATCCCTGTGGATTTGGATCCCCATGGATTTGGATCCCTGTGGATTTGGATCCCATGGATTTGGATCCCTGTGGATTTGGATCCCGTGGATTTGGATCCCATGGATTTGGATCCCATGGATTTGGATCCAGCTGGGGCAGAGAATTGGGATCTGGGCAGGGAATCCCCCCAGGAAGGGGCTGGAGGGATCCGGCTTGGAATGGAGAGGGCTGGGATTGTTCCCTAAGGACATGCAGCTCTCCTGGGCTGGGAATGGGATCAGGGGGCTGGGAATGGGATTTGTGTCCCTCCAACTCTGCCCTGGGCAGGGGAATCGGGATCTGGGCAGGGGAATTGGGATCTGGGCTGGGGAATTGGGATCTGGGCTGGGGAATTGGGATCTGGGCTGGGGAATTGGGATCTGGGCTGGGGAATTGGGATCTGGGCAGGGGAATCGGGATCTGGGCAGGGGAATCGGGATCTGGGCTGGGGAATTGGGATCTGGGCTGGGGAATTGGGATCTGGGCTGGGGAATTGGGATCTGGGCTGGGGAATTGGGATCTGGGCAGGGGAATTGGGATCTGGGCTGGACCGACCCTCCAGCAGCACTGGCTGGGATTTTTTGGGAATATGGAAAGAAAATTCCGTGTGGATTTGGAATTTAGGGGCTGGAGGAGGATCCCGGTTGTGCTCGGGGGCTCCTCTCATCCTGGACTTTCCCACCCTCGCTGCTGCTTTTCCTTCCCCCTTCCCAATCCCGAGGGAATTTTGGGATGTTTGGGGCTCTGGGGAAGCAGCACCGGGAGGGGGTGAGAGAAAGGGGAAAAAAGGGGGGAAAGATTAAAAAAAATAGAAGGAAAAAAGGGGAAAGGGAAACTGGAGGGGAGAAATAAAAGAGGGAAAATAAGGGAAAGAAAGGGGGGGAAGGAGAAATGAGAAATGAAATGAGGAAAAAAAGGGGGGAAAATGAGAAAAGATTGAATAAACCGGGGGGAGGGGCAGGGGGAGAAAAATCGGGAAAGAAAGAAGGAAAAAAAGGAAAAATCCAAAGGTAAAAGAGCACAAAGGAGGAAGAGGAGGGAGGAGCAGACTCAGGATTCCCCAGCCATGTCCCCGTGTCCCCTCCCTGTCCCCTTCAGCACAAGGTGAAGTTTGCACTAAAAACAAATCAAGAGAAAGCAAAAAAAATATAAAATAAAAATTAAAAAAAAAAAGCCCCAAATCCCCCAGGGTTGTCCCGGTCCCGTCGCCTTAAAACCCACCCCAAAATCCCCAAATCCCCCCCCGGAGCTCAGCAGCCACAATTTTGTCTTTATTCAAAATTTTCATTTCATTCCAGTTGGGTTTTTTTTTGTTTTGTTTTTCCTTTTCTGAATCCGGGTTGGGATGAAAGCGTTGCCAAAGAAAGTGCTGAGTTACGGCGGGGAGAGAGAGAGGAATAATAATAGAAGTTATTAATAATAATAATAATAATAATAAATGATTAAATAATAACATTTGGAGCAAAGCCAAGCAGGGGCAAGGGGAGATAGAGAGGGGAAAAAAGGATTTTTGTTTTAATTTGAAAGAGGAAAAAATTGGTGTCTCCCCCCTTTTCCTCCCCCCAGAGCCCCGAGGGGGCTCAGCCCAGTTTTGGGGGGATTGATCCGAGTTTAGGGGGGCTCAGCCCAATTTTGGGGGGATTAATCCGAGTTTAGGGGGGCTCAGCCCAATTTTGGGGGGATTAATCCGAGTGTAGGGGGGCTCAGCCCAATTTTGGGGTAAATTAATCCAAGTTTAGGGGGGCTCAGCCCAATTTTGGGGGGATTAATCCAGGTTTCAGGTGCAGAGCCCAGGTTTGGGGGGCTCAGCCCAATTTTGGGGGATTAATCCAAGTTTAGGGGATTAATCCTGGTTTTGGGGTCTGGGGGTGCCAGGGGAGGGGTGTCACCCCCCAATTTTGGGTTTTTCCCCCCAAATCGGCTCGGGGGGGGTCCTGCCCCCCAAACTGAGCAGGAGAGGTTTCATTTCTCAGTTTTCCACAGGAAAGGGCTGATTCCCCCTCCCCACCCCAAAATTCTCCTTCATCCCCCCCCTTTAGAGCCCCCCAGCCCCAATTTCCCACCCCAAATTTAACAATTTAATAATAAACCAAGACAAAACCCCCTGAATTTCTCTCTCTCTAAATTTTCTGAATTTTTTTTTCGATTCACGGCAAGAAAAAAAAAAAAACAAATTAAAATTCAATTTCAATCAAGAGAAACAAATAAAAAAAGAGCAAAACGGGACGGAAATTTTGGGGTGGGGAGGGGGCAAAAATGCTGCGTTAAATTGTGTTTTATATAATAAAATTATCTATCTACATATATATATATATATATATATACACAGCAAGAGCTGAAATGTCCCCAGGGACGGGGGGGACACCGAGCTCGGCCCGGGGACCCCAAAGGACGCTCGAGGTGGGGCCACTTTATTATAAATATTAATTTTATTTTCATTTTTTTTCCCTTTTTTTTTTGGTTTTGTTGGTTTTTTTTTGTTGTTGGTTTTTTTTTTCTGCGTCT